CATAATACCACCCCTGGGGAGACAGATAGCGCCATACGCTACAAAATGCAAGGCAACTGAGGTGCGATATATGATCTAAATCTCAAGAGCCATCTTGCTCGCATAACACCATTGCTACACGGAACCTCAACACATAAGAAAATTATCAAGCCGTCTCACAACTCATACAGAACAATATAGTATTACATGAAATAGCCGACGACGAGACTACATCCAACGTTCGAATACTCCTCCATAAGGAGAGCTATGCTGAAAGGAACACATCTGGCCTGATATAGAGACCATATTCATATTTAAATCCACCCATCGACCTCGAGCCGATTCTAACTGCACCGTACTAGGCTAATAACCTTTCAAGGGTCCATAATAACCCCTTTTTCCCATGACTCACAAGAATAACCCTCATATTCGGAGCAAACCTCCACAGTCCATAACCCAATAAACTGAGTGCCCTCCAGAATAAATTCTCAAATTAGTGATACTACCACAATCTTCACACTTGGTTTAAACCTTCAATCAATCAAGTGACTATATGTCACACTTATACAATATTCCCATGAGGTACGCTCCCACGACCTTCCGCACTAAATAACGAGTCTGCACATCCATACCACCAGTCACACTAATGTTGTAAAGCATATCAAGAATCCATAACCAAGATGCAAAGCCTCCGACACAAAATGCCGGTCTCAAGTGACGCTGAAGACAATACCAACCTACTCCAAACATCTAAATCCCCTTCCTGCTCATCCGAGCTCGTGACATCCTTATCAAACACCAACCCGCAACCTTGAACCTCACTTTAAAATTTCATACTGCTCACTGCACTTAACAAGCCAATACGCGATAGTACAAGAATTTCGTCATAACTCCTGAACCACTAATATGGTAAACACTTCATCACCTAGAAACCTTTTACTTAACTCATTACAAGAGAACAATAGCAACACGCGAGTAACTTCTCATAGCCGTAGAACATTCAAATCCTTGAGTAGTGGTCTAAACCACCATAACCCTTTCGGGATCCGCTTGCACATAACAGGCCATAATACTTGAATACTTCCAAATAAAATCAATTACGGCCGCTGTCGAGCCTCGCCCGTACCGCCACCACTATGCCAATTCAACCATGGCTAACCAATCTAACTTCTTCTAATTCATCCTTAACTTGCCTTAGAGATAATAATAGCTCCATTCCTCACATCACCAACCTAAATCTGCACTCACCTTAAGTGACCCCATTCCATGAGACCACATTGTCTCCAAACCCATGAACCGTTTTATACCCTCCTTGCACGCACATTGGCATCTTCAACTGATACACCCATTCTGATAATTCCTCTACAAATCTGAAGTCTTTTTCTCTTTTTCCTCCCAATGCTATACTACAAGTCAAAAACATCATAGAACATTCCGAGCCTCCTATCATAATCTATTACAAAAGCTCGATTCTTAACCATACTGCGGGCTTGAATCCTTAGGCACCGCATTTTTAACCTTTGAATTCACTAGCACCATTATTGAGGGCCGCTCTGGCTTGGTCCTGAATATAATCAACTTCAAGGCTCCGCTGGCACACGAACACCCATTTTGATGAAGCACCTGACTAAATCACTTCCCAAAGCCTGCACGTGACTCAATAAGGCCAACTATAGCACACTTTTATCAATTCCTTTGCTTAAATTACCACTTATGTTCTTTTCCCTTTGCTGAAATAACTCACTAATACACCGATAGCCCGAACCCCACAAGTAGATAACCATGCAACCCAATCGTAGGCGGTGGGACTCTCCCACTTAGCTTGAAGGCACTATTACACAACTCTGGAACCTACCAAGATTCTCTCTTCACTGTTGACATGA